ATGGTCAAACTCTGGGAAACAAAACTGTGCTCATTCAAGATTTTAACCTTGCGTTTGTCTCTTCCTCTTGAGAATGAAGAACTGGGATATGGAGGGGTATACTATACAGCATTGCTTGGTATTCCCCCCATTTGCTCCTGTGTCCAACAGAAGAGTGGAAAGGGACGCAGAGGACAGAGAGCATGCTTATGTGCAAACATGCTTCAGTGGAAGATCAAGGAAAACATCAGGAACCCAATAAGGAATGCCAAAAGGTGTAGCGTTGGAAAAAGAAGGACACATAAGGTCAGGGTGGTTTCCCTAACACAAGGTCTTACATGTGTGAGACTAGAAGGGAGTACTTCAAAGGAAAGGGAGGCAGAAGAGTGACAACACTGTGTGGGGTCAAAGAAAGACTGTTGGAGGCTGGTGTTCTGTGTTGTGTTAATCATTACTGTGTTCCTTCAGTGAAATACAGTGTCTGGCAGAATATCTGTATGGAAAAAGGTTATTCAGTCCACATTTTTGAAGATAAAAGAGCATGGTGCTTGCACTGGCTCAGTTCTGTGGCAGATGGCAGATGGTTGAGTGCTTGCAGAGTAAGTGGTCAGTCACAGCAATATGAGCAGAGACTGGAGCCCCCTAATCCCCTCTGGATCACATCCCTAGTGACCTAAGGACCTCCTGCTAGGTCCCACCTCCCAGAGGTTTTACCATCTTTCAGAAGTACTATCCTGGGCATTAAATCTTCTATCATAAGGGACCATTGTGGGGGTATACTGTGGTGCTTCAGTTCATGAACTTAATTCTTTCCATGATTCTGGTCGCAAACTGAGTGGGACAAGAACCAAGTCAAATTCAATGCTTAAGTTCAATGTGGACCTTATGGGGACATTTGAATCAATTCTTATTGAATTCATTTTGTAACCAGAATCATGGAAAGAATTAAGTTCATGAACCAAGGTAGCTCTGTACACCATATTGAATGCATGACATTTGTGCAGAGATTCAAGCCAGGGAAGCCTGTGATGTTCGCCTGTGACACCATCATCGTGCTGTCCCTCTGTGGTTGTGATGCATAACTGGCCCACAGACCCCTCCTCAGAGGGCAACCCATGCCCCCAGTGTTGGGCCCCATCTGCCACATATGCATTACATGTTTTATCTTTTTGGTCTCATCTAGGAAGTCCCCGATTAGATTTTGTCTAAAACTTTGGAGTTGAGGATTTTAAGGTCCTCTTTTCTGATTGCTTAAACTGAGCCAGAATTGGCAAGTAAAAACTGATGATAATTGTACCAAAAACAAAAACAAGTTTGAAATAGCAACACTGACCAAGATCTGTGGGCATCACTGGGCGATTCTAGAATGTTGGAGAATTCAGGGGCCAAAGAGGACTTGGATTCATCACAGAAGATTCCCACAAAGGAGAGTTGTTTCCTTCAGGAAACTATGAGAAAGTTTAGGAAGAGTATGTTCCTGTGCCGAGTAAGAGTGAGTTTGATAATGAACAGCCAGGACCACTAGGAACACAGCAGGGCACTTTGTGGGCAACTCTTAAAAGCAGAGGGCTACTAGCAGGTGGAAGGCCCTGAAACCATCAGGATAGCTATCTGAGCTGTTGCATGTGCTTCCTAGGGCTGCCATGACAAATGACCGTAGCCTGGAGCCTCTCTCAGTTCTAGAGGGGAGGAGTCCAAAATCCAAGGTCCCCAGGGCTGCGCTGCCTCTAGAGTTCTGATGGAGACTTATTTTTTACCTCATCTGCTGGCTGCAGTACTCCTTGGCCTGTCGCCTCACAGCTCTAATCTCTGCTTCCATTGTCACATGACTTCTTCTCTCTGTCTCCTCTCTTATAAGAAGGTCACTCCATCATTGAATTTGGGGCCCACCTGGGTAATCTAGGATGAACTCATCACATTCCCAAGTTTCTGCAGTTAGGAAATTATATCCTTTTGAGAGTTACCATCCAGCACCCCATCCCAGCTGCAAACAGCAGACAGGGAACCCTCAAGCTGGAGCACACAACTCTTGTACCTTTCTTGTTGAATTATAGTGTGTGTTTGTCAGTTTTATTTTATTTCATTTGAACTTTTTCTTTCTGTGTTACAGCAGTTTCTAGAAGATTTTGTGGTAGTCAGTTGTGAGAGAGGAACACAGAATTCTTATGGAAATTTAACCCAAAAGAATAAAATATTGTGAAGGAAACCAACCATTGGACCCTATCTCACTTCTTAAGTGTGGCAGAAGATGTGAGTGAAGCAAGGCACAGATCACTATGGCTGCTAAGGCAGGTTTGGGACATGGAGCCAGTACCCAATGATAAAGACATGTGGCAGATTCAGGTGCAAACTGGTGGTTTGTTGATTGATAGGGCCCAGTGGTAAATTAGTAGATTATCATAAGCAGATAGAATGGCGGATCCAGAGAACTTATGTTAAATTTTTCTTGTTAGTTAAGCTTCTTTTTTTTCTCATACAACTTTAAGTGATGAAAGGGTATATGACAGCTACTGGAGTAGCTCAGAGAACTTCAGAAAAACTGAGCCAGCCACCTCAAGAGCCAACACAGAATCCAGAGCAGATTCAGTCATTGAACTCTGCCCTTTCTACACCGGAGTCCTTAACATGCTCCACTTTGGTACTGTCAGTCTGATTCCTGAGCAAGCTTCAGGTTTCCCAGGGAAGATGTGATTGGCAGTTCAGGCTTTGGATTCCTCTGGGAACTAATGTTATTGACTCAGATCAAGTAAGTGCTAAACCAGCCAGGGCACAGACACAGCCACTGAAGATATATTTGGGAGTTGGAGAAGACACACCAGCTGAGGTCTAAAGACAATGCTCTGGACAGTTAAATGGGCTGGAAATGGCCAAAAGGTACAGGGCTCCAGCAACTGGACTGGGACTGGGAACAGGACTCCAGGTTCTAGAGTCTAAAAAGCAAGCCTAAGTGGCCATAGGAACCAAAGCAGAAGTAGATTTGGAGGTGGGATAGTTCAGTACTTGAACATTTTTATATAACAACCTCATTGCTCTTTTAAAAGTTAAGAGGATCTCAGAGAGTTGTCTTGTGTCTATCAGTATGAACATTATTATGAATTAAGCCTGAAACATTTTTTAAGGCACCAAAACACATTAGCACACATTTTGTTAGTTGTCAAAGTGATGGTATTTCCACTCCAGGGAACCTTGGATAGACATCACTATATACTTCTGAGAGAAAGAAAGTTAAAACAAGTGACATCTTACTGTCATTCAGAAGGAGTTTTGCCCTTGGAGACCATTATGGTTTGTGTTTGGATGTCTCCCCAAGGCTTCATGTGGTCATGGGGGGATGGGTTTTTGCAGCTGAATCTAAGTTTGTGATTGATTCATGATTCAATGCTGGGATTAAAAGTGTGAGTGCTATGCCAAACCTAGGGGGAGGTAGCCTGTATATGATATAAGGGACACAAAGAGGTTTGTCTTTCTCCTCTCTTGTTGCTTTTGGTATCTTCTGCCACCCTGAAATGTTGCCCCTCTGCCATGTGACCTTCTGCCTTGAAATCAACTGATTATGGACTAAAACCTCTATGAACTGTGAGCTAAATAAATATTTTCCCCTTTAACTTTGAGTGTTGAGTATTTTGTTTTAGTAACAAGAGAAAAGTAAATATGACAGACACTCTCTGAGAGGATCCTGCCCAGGGTCCCAGACACAGACACACTAGAGAGCTATTGACACTGTCATTCAGACTCTGGCCACTAGATCCAGACTGCCTTGGTTTGAATCTGGGCAGGCATGGCAGGTGAAGATGAGGCCGTAAAGGTGATTTCATCATTGATCTGTGCAGAGGAACAGAGTGAATCCACAGAAGAGTAGTTAGAGCTACACCCAGTGTATCATACGTAGTCAGCATATTTTGACTGTGATTAAGCATAGTCCCACATGGTTGCCAAAAAAAGGAACTTAGAGGTAGGCCTGGGCCATCAGAGGAGGCTAACATCTGGCCCAGGATACTAGGCAAGATAAGCTTCATGAGTAGGGTGCCCCCAACCTTTGTTCTGATGTGATGGTCCTTGAAAATGACATGCAGTCTGGTACCTCAGCAAAAAAAGATTATCAAAAAAAACCTTTTTAATGATATGTGTGGTTTGTATTGCTGAAATACATCTTTCCTTGTAGCAATCAATAAAATGTGAAATAGAGCAAATTTATGAATATTTTATATATAACAAGTATAAGTTTTTAATGCTGAATACAATCAAAAGTCTATCAATATGATTCCAGTCTCAAGTCCAAGAATTCAGAATCTGCAGGGTATGGGTTTGCCACCTCAGGTCTGGCTTATCCAAAGATGTTTGAATTCAGGGTCCTTCTGGTCTTGGAGGATGCAAGACAATCCCATCAGCTGATCCAAGCAGGAGATGTTGTTGGTAGAGCTCATATACACAGAGAGATTACTAGAGCCACCTACTCAGAGAATAGGAGTATTTGTAAACACTGCCCTGATGTGATTGAGTTTCTTACTTAAAGAATAACTACAGCAAATATCAGGATGAAAAGAGAAAATTGTCTTTTACAAAGCAATTCCATGGGGAAAAAATGATCATATATACAAAGGGTAGTTCCTGTGTCAGTTGAATAGGCATAGGATTTACTCTCTAAACGTCCAGAAAATACCAGTAAGGCTCACATTCTCTCTACTTGGCTTTCTTCTATTTTCTCCTTATGAAGACTCTACCCATTTCCACCCAGGGATCTCAAGATTCTTCTCTTTTTCCTTCCTCTTTATCACCTTCCAATGGAAAAGTTATTACTGAGCTATAACAGCACTTTCAATTGAGAGATGCACAAGAGAAGCTCCCAGTTTTACATAACCACTTCCCCTCATTTGTGTACTGATCAAATTGCTGTTCCCAAGTACCCTTGAAATCAAACTCAGCAACTGGCTCATCTCCTACCATTGTAAAATGGAGCTGTGGAGGTCGGCTCTTTCAATACCCCTTCATTGATAGTTGAGAGACTTGGAGGAATAAAAATTTTCTCCATATCATGAGGCTTGGAAAGATGACATTTCAAAGCCCTATAATTGTGGATTTTGGAGAGAATAACAAAAACATATGATAATAAGCTGGATGTGATGGCACACATCTGTAATCCTAGCATTTGGGAGTCTGGACAGGAGGATCACAGTGAATTTCTTAAGCCCATCCAGGACTATATAGCAAGTTTAAGACCATCCTGAAATACATATCAAGACCCTGTCTCAAAAAACAAAACAAAAAGACATATGCTGTCAATAACACTCTCTATTAATGTGCCTTTGGTCAAGTATGAAACCCTTGGACAAGTGAAAAAAGATCCATTTCCAATTTTGAGAAATGCCTTAGAACCTCAAAGTGTATTACTTAAATAAATAGGTAGACAAATATGTTTGAAAAGATATTGACAATATTTATACTATGCTTTTGTAAAACAAGCTGACTTCTCTCTCATATTCTACATTGCGTTCCTGCTAATCCATTCTAAAAAGTTCTCTGAAGCCTAAAATGTTACCTGATAAGGGATTCAACTGATTTTTATAATAAGGGACTCTTAAAGGCCAAAACAGCTCTCAAAACACAAAGGAATGAAGTTATGAAAGTGGAAAATTACACTCTGCTGCTAAATTCCTTGGGGCCTCAAGCCTGTAAGTGTTCTGTTTGGTGTGCAGGAGCTAGCCAGTACTCTGCTGATATCCTGGATCACACTACTGAGTTACCACTTCCAGGTAAGGCTCACTCTGCTGCCGGGAAGCACAAAATATGAGAGTTGGGACCCCAGGACTGGTTTCCCTCTAGTTTACTCTTCAGTCAGGGAGGCAAAGTGATTTTCTGCTGGTTACTCAGGCTCTGAGGGAGTCAGAGCCTTTGGGAGGTCTACTTTCTTGGTCCAGTGTACTTTCTGCAAATGGACTCCATTCTTCTGATCCCTGCACTGATAGGGAGCAGCTCAAAACTGAGCTGTGACCTTGGATCTCGAAGGTGTCTACTTGGCTTTTTCCTATTTGCTCCTGATGAGGACTCCACTCATTTCCACCCAGGGATCTCAAGATTCCTCTCTTCTATGGGATCAGTTTCAGTTTGGTATGCAGGAGCTAGCCAATACTCTGGAACTACCCCTTGTATATATGATCATTTTTTTTCCCATGGAGTCATTTTGTAAAAGAGAATTTTCTCTTTTCATCCTGATATTTCGGAGAGGGATCGCTTGAGCTCAGCAGTTGGAGGCCAGCCAGGGAAATATGGTGAAATCTCATTTTTCCGTCTCTTAAAAAATAATTAAAGATACCAATCATGAATCAGTCCTTTGCCCACAAGAGTTTTTTGGCATCACTGAATTGACTCACTTGGTGTACCTCTCTGTGACAGTGGACATGAGCTCACATACTTGCCCTGACATCTTCTTGCTCAGAATTCTCTAACCTTTCCCTTGTTCATTTATGCTTCTCATCCTCAATTTTGAATACATGTTTATCTTCTTTAATTCTTGATTTTTGTTTAAACTTGTAGAGCAAAAGGACCACACCATTACAGTTACTCCTCTTAGCTACAAGGTGTACATTTCAAGAACTATAGATCTGTAAAATCAAGAACAGTACTAAAATCCTAATATACTATGTTTTGCCTATATATACAGACCTATGATAAATTATGCACAGGAAGAGATTGACAACTGTGCCTAATACTAAAATAGAGTGAATATAATAGTATACTATAATAAAAGTTTGTGCTTTGAGGCCATAATGAAATAAAATAAGAGTTACTTGGATACCAGACATTGTGCTACTGTGATAGTGGATCTGATAAACAAGACAGCTACTAAGTGACTAACCAGTGGGCAGTGTACAGAGCATGGACACATTGCACAAAGAGATGATTCACACCCAAGGTGGGAGAGAGTACAGTGGTCTACCCTTTCGTCATACTACTGACAAACCATTTAAAACTTAGGAACTGTTTATTTCTTAAGTTTTTTAATGTAATACCTTTGGACTAGAGTTGGCTGTGGGTAACTGGACCATGGAAAATGAAACTGTTGAAAAGTAGGCACTACTATATTTTTTATTTGAATTATAAAAAGAAGCAAAGTTTGCTTGATCTTTTAGGATAATGCAGGAATTTTAGCTGCTTTAAGCTAAAACTACCCAATGTGGAACAGTGAGTGTAATTTCCTCTGACATGGGAGCTATTTCGAGGAAAGTTTGAGGAGAACAAAACAGGACCAAATCTTAGCTGGTCGTGGTCAGCTTGTTATTGTTTAGGTCTAAAATGTCCCCCAAAAGTCTCCTGTTTAGAGATGAGTTTTTTGGAAGGTGATTGGATCCTGGGAGCATTATATTAATCAGTGTATTGATCCATTGATAAATTCATAGTTGGTATGTTATTCAGAGCTGGGACCTAATGGGAAGAAGCAGATCACTGGGTGATCACATGACTTGGTAATTTATATTCTTGTCCCTGGATGTTCCCTTTTGTTTCTGCTTAGTAGTGACCATGGCATGGACAGCATTCCTCCTCTATGTCCTTTTCTGCTTTGGAGCTAGATGACCATGGACTGAACCTACCAAAACTAGAGTCAAAAAAAAGTCTCCTTTAAACTGTAGGTATTGTGTATCTGTCATGTGGAAGGGCAGCTTTCATGACTTGATCGGGCTTGCACAGTCACCTGTGCTTAAACCATGTTGGATGACCAGGGATTTCCCAGGCAGCCTGTGACCCTCATGCCCACTGCTCTTGCATATGTAACTTCCTAGTAATTTGGTTAGGAGAGTCACCTCCTGGGTATGATTGCCATTTGGGGCTGGATATGTCTTTATTTGGAGACTGTCCTATGCATGGTACCTTGCTTCCCTGCTGGCCTGTTTCCACCAGAGCAACAATCCCAAGTCATGGAAATAAAAAAATGTCTCCAAACATTGTCATATGTCCCCTGGGGGAAAATTGCCTCTAATAAATATCCACTGCTTTAATGAGAATAAGTTCTTTAGCTCATCTGTCTAGCAATATTACTCCTTTTTTTTTTTTTTTTTTTTTTTTTTTGGTAGTTAAACCTAAACATCCTCTCCTTTGCGAAGCTTTCTGGACCTAACTAGACATCAGAATCAGGCAGAACTAGAACGCTGTGGAACTGCCCCCATTCTGTGCTTTATGCTAATTTCATGGTAGTGTAATTGTTTGCCTTCCTCATAGTTCATGAATTCCTTTAAGTCAAAGATTATGACTCTAAATCCCCAATCCTCAGCACTCAACAAATATGATCCATTGAAATAGTTAAGGAACTGTTGAATGGACAGACCATCTGCCACAGTAGGGTGATCCTTCCTGGGGATGACTCCACCAAAATGCATTAAGATTAACCCCAGCAGGGGCTGGGGATTAGCTCAGCGGCATAAGCACCTGCCTTGCAAGCAGGTGGTCGTGAGTTCGATCCCCGGTACCGATTAAAAAAAAAAAGAAAGAAAAAAGATTAACCCCAGCCACTGGCATAATCTCAGCCTCACCACCTCACTTGATCCTTGTTTGAAACATAATTTTGCCAAAGGAATAACTCAGATCTGTATTGCTACCTATAGTTCCGACAGTGTTCTGCTGAGGATTCGCTCCAGTTACTGACCCTCACAGCATTACCGTGGGCTAAGTCTCATTCTTTCCATTCCACAGGTAGGGAAACTGAGAAACTGAGTGTTTCATTTACAAGCTCAGCAAGCATCCTGGTGACATTAGGATTAGAATCCAAGGGAATTTGACTACAGAGTTCAGGCATTGTCCTATTTTGGGTTCTGGATTTTTATTGAGTGACTTTAAACAGCAGCTATTTGAAGTCTGAATGGATTACACACCCAGATGAATGGGTAGATGGTTCCTGGCTTCAATTTGGGTCACTTCTTATCATTGCAACTAGCATCAAATTCTACCAAAATATGAGGAAAATCATTTTGATGTTGCTTTTGCATATCCAAGAACTGGTGGATAGTTTGTATAATCGAATTATGGAGAGTAGTAAAATGGGGCATCTCTTAAATAGCTTACAAAATTACTTTGAAGATACACATTAAAATCTAAAGAACTCATCACCTTCAAGATCTTTACAAAATTAAATGCTAATTGATAATGACAACTTCGTCTTTATCACTAGCACCATTCTCTATCTCTACTTTGTCAGTATCACAACTCACATATCACTGTATCCTCTGCTCTTCTTTTAACCACATTCATTCCTTGCTATAATAACAGATGGAATTTTATGCACAACTGACTTTATCCCTCTCCCCATAGTTGATCAAAAGAGCAGCCTGGGGGGAAAAAAGCCTAGAAATTGCTGAAATTCTTATTTCTTTCAGCAGTTTTATAGATTTTATAACTTATTTTTTATTGACTATTCAAGGTCTCTGGTCTCTAGCATCTGTTTGTTGCATCTGGGGAGAAAGATAAATTCTTTTTTTTTTATGCTACTGAACTAAATTTAAGAGACATACAAACAAATAGGTCTTAGAATTAGAGGACAGCGCATATCTCTCATCTTAATCCAGGCTGTCCTTTCCCCAGCTACTTTGTGAGGACAAGAGGATGAGGAGAACTTCATCCTCAGGGTTCTTCTGATCTTCAGGGTTTGCCATGTTAGAGAGGCAGGCCCTGAAGACTGGCACCTAGAAGTAGGTGCCACCCCCAAGAGGGGACCTGAGTCTTACTGATCATGAGTACAGGCCTTGAGGATGCTGCCTGGTATACATTTTTAAAAAGCAACTACATGTCATTTACAATTTCCCAGACTTAAAGAATTGCACCTGGTCACTCAGAGACATGATTATACATCACAGAGCCTGATTATAATAATGGCCCAGTACTCCAACTTCTTTAAAACCTCAGCTGTTCGATTCAGCCTCTTCAGCTCCATAACTATTTATAAGATTAATAGACTCTGATGCATAATTGACTCTCCCATTGGGAGAAAAGAGAGAGAGAGAAAAATTAAGCCCTCTAAGAAATAACATCCCCATAATGAAGTAGTTTCTACTCTTATCAACAAGGTCAAAGGCAGGAGAGAGTCCCTAGTACCACAGATGTAAGACAGTCTCGAGGAGTTGGTAGGACATGTTCCTGTCATGTAAAGTCTTTAGTGAACAACCTAAAAATAGCCTTGGTGGCAGAGGCTGTGGACAGGAGTCCTGCTGTACAGTAGTGAGCAAAGCCATACCTGAGAAGTTGCAAAAAGGAATAAAGGATCCCCTCCACACCAAATGTGGAAGGACAAGGAAAGGAAATCAGAGGAATGAAATCTTCATAAGGGATTGAGCCCTAATTCCTGGTATCAGTGAAGCTCAGGAGGAGAGCTCCTGGGCTTCTCCTTCCCTTCTAGTAGATAGGGAACACGGAATGTAGCAATAGATTCTGCAGATCTTTCAAAAAGATATGAGCTAGTAAGGTCTATAGGGAAAGTCTTGGGGTGTGTTATGATTATATCTAGATGTCCCCCTCAAAGCCTTGTACTGTTATTTTTTTCAGAGGTGTTTGGATCTAGGGTGTGTGATATTGGAATTAAAAGCATGGGTGATTACTAAATGTGTCCACTGGTTGGTCTGGTACCCGCCCTAAACTTAGTAGCCTAGAAAGAATATAAAAGGGGCAGAAAGAAGCTGCTGTGGTTGCTTGGATTTGCTACTTGAAATTTCTGCCTTTTGCTTGCCATGAACTGTTTCTCCTGCACAATGCCCCTTTGCCATGCCATCCT